TCCTATAGCTAAACCAAAACTCTGGCGGCGATATGTAGATTACATGTTTGTCATCGTCAAGAGGAAGCATTTAGACCTGCTGCACAAGAAGCTCAACTCTACCTTTACAGGAATTAAAATTCACATTCGAGAAGGAGATTGACGGACAACTCGCATCTTATGGATGTCCGTTTACGTGGCAACACTCATAGACAACTCCGTATATCAGTTTATCGCACAGAAACATATTCGAAGATCATCCTTCATCTTTAGAGTAACCATTCAGTCTGTCACAAGACAGTTCTGTCTACAGTTTCCCACATCGAGCCAAAACACACTGTTCTGATGAAGAAATTTACTAAGCAGAAATGAGATACCTCTTTAAATGATTTTCAAGAATAGATACCCACGTAATTTCGTGCTTCAGTGCATGAGGCGACAAGAATCCAGGAAGAAAGGTAGTTCAAATGATACAGCCAATCAGACACCAAAACAATGACTTTACGCACTCTCCCGTACGTGAAAAATGTGTGTGAGCTTGTCAAAAGACGACTAAGGAAACATCGGACACAAGTAGCACACCGCCCCGGAAATGCCTTACACTCATAACTTGTACACTCCAAGGAAAGGTTCGGTTATTTCAACAGAAAAGAAACCGTCTACAAAATACCGTGTATCACTTATGATGCAGTCTACTGTCTACTGTGGCCAAATCGGGAAATCTCTACCCACCTATACACATGAACACCTGTTAGCGCTGAGGGAACCGGACCACTTAGCCCAGGTTGCCATGCAAACACTACACATATTTGCACGGGAAAAACCCAAATCGTTGGCAGTTGGTCAACTACGAACGACCGCGAATTTCTGGACGCAGTGCACTCAGACGGGGCATGCATTAATAGACATTTCAATTTAGATGTCAATAACACATTTCCAAGGTCAGATAGCACATCATTAACAGCCACTATCGACCACTAACATTAAACGCAGGTGACGCCTATTGGCGTACACTTTGACTAATCATAGAATCTTGCGTTAGACATCATTTTAAGTTAACTATTTTTTGTGTATATCTGACGACGACCGCAGGAACCAGCGTCGAACATTTGCACAACGAAATCTTTTTTTCTCCCTAGACGTTGGGTAAGTGTGCCTGCAAAACTTGCTCTGCGTAGAAGAGGCAAAGGTCGTTTAAAGCGCTAAAGCCCATAATCCCTGAGCCTTCGGGCTTTGTAAGAAAACAAATGAACGGGTAGAGCATACTGGATCTGCCGCGCCGCAGACCGAGGCGCACGAAATTAATGTGAGGTACAGCCTGTTCCGGATAGACTAGTCAACCACACATGAGACTGACTTCTTAAAACAGGCAGACATGTTTCTTCCTTAATTCACCGACAGACACTTTGCTACTTGAACAAGACGAAACTGACAATGTGCCCTGCACACAACGAATTAGACTCAACGTTTATTGGCGCAAGTCTACGACATCGTGAGAGGTGGGAGGAACAACAATCCGCACGTCAAGAACACTATCTAGCATCTCTGGAGCGTAGCAGTAAGTGTGCAGGGAATCATGACAAGTGGGGCAGGGCACAAAAA